ATTCCACCCCCAAATAAGGTCTCCGAATAGAGTATGTTAATCAGACTAGAAGTCAACAGGGATCAGCGTGGGTGGACCTATCCTAAATGGGACTGTGGCACTACCCCGAGTACTGTTAATCAGTTCCTCTTCCAGGGGTCATTTCCTGCTGGAGCGCACAGGAGCGGAGCTCCGGCAGTAAAGAGCCCAGGGGGCGGGCACATCCAACAAGCCCCACCCCCTACTCCCAGCAGCCCTCAGTCAGAGCAAGAAGCAGCCAGGTAAGCTGCAGAGCTTCCCCTGGCCCCCTAGTCCAAAACATTCCAGTGGCACCTTTAAGACAAGCTCTCCCTCCTCTGCGAGGACAGACCTGCACGTCCCGTCCCCCCCAATAGCTAGCAATCCAAAACAGTCCAGTGGAGCCTGAACGGTGGGTGCTGCCTTCTGACACACTTCCGGTGATGTCAGGGGGTGTGGCATATGCAAACAAGTTATGCTAATGAGGTATGCTAATAAGCTCCTGCACCTCTGTTTCTACGAAATGACCCCTGACCTCTTCCATGAGTTGCCTTGTCCCTTCAGGCTAGAGCTACAGCACTAAGTCAGCTGTGGGATAAACTGCCAGAGGCCCTTTAAGTAATTCTTGCATCCAAAGTGGCCCTTAACAAAACACTAGTGAATATTGCTGGGTTTAGCTGTTCACATCTTTTCCAGAAATAACAGTGATTCAGTTACAATGCCTATTTCCGTTTGTGCAAAATGCTTTGTGGCTCAATTGCACAAAAAACTGCTCTATGAATCATTTGTGCTCTTACTCTCCTTCATCTTGCTTGTGTTTGCTTCACACATCTTAAGGATTTCTCTGTAACCACAGCACAAGGTAGGTTAACAAATTATCTTGTCATAGATGATTCATGATACATGTTAGATTTATGGTCTTGTCTTTGGAGCAGTGAATACGAAGGAGTTTAGGAGAAATGATAAATCTTTGGTAAATCCTCCTTAGTTTCTGGATTTAATGACTGCCTGTTGATCGTTTGTGTTAGCACAGTTCTTCTGTCTAAGATTACTATGCTGAAGTATCACTTTAGCATCATGCCTTTAGCACACTTAGCAGAATTCTGCAAATAGATTTTTCCAGATCAGATTTTTTAACTGCTTTTCATTCTAGGCTGCCCTCCAGAGTGATTGCAGCTAACAAAATAAATTCTGACATTTGTTTGTGTGTGTTTAGGTACATGCAGATCTTGGGGAAATTGCCTCAGATCTTGCTTGTGCAATCAATATATCTATATCTTGCCTGTGCAATATCTATATCTTGCCTGTGTAATACACACACAAACACACACATATATGTATGTATATGTATATATGTATATGTAAATGTGTGTGTATGTATATATCTGTATATCTCACAGGCAAAATCTGAGGCAATTTTTTCAAGATCTGCATGTACTTGCATGTCTGTGTGTGTACACACAGACACACACACAGCTGGATATCTCTTGGGCTGGGGACCATCAGCAGATTTTGATCTGTTGAGTGCAGTGCTCTCCTGGGGGTATACCAGGAGAGGCAGTCCCAAAGATATGTGGGTTCTGAACCATTAAGGGCCTTAAAGGTCAACACCAGAACCTTGAACTTGATCCAGTACTCCAGTGGATGTGTGCTGCACGTGGAGTCTCCATGAGGAACCTCATGGCCACATTCTGTATCAGTTGGAGTTTCCAGGTCAGCCCAAGAGTAGGTGCATGTAGAGCAAGTTACAGTAGTCCAGTCTGGAGGTGACCATTGCATGGATTACTGTGGCTAGATTGGGGCGAGACAGGTAGGGGCCAGTTGTCTGTCCTGGCACAGTTGGAAGAATGCCAGTCTGGCAACATTAGACACCTGGGCCTCCATTGATAGGGAGGCATCCAGGCTCACACCCAGGCGATGGTTGGTGCTGGTCTCAAGGGCATGCCATCAAGAGCTGGGAATTGGCACCCCAGACCAGAATCTCCCCACCCCAACCACAGAACCTCTGTCTTAGAAGGATGCAGTGTCACCCGGCTCTATTTCAACCATCCCACCACAACCTTCAACCCCTCAGCCCAAGCAGTACCCAGCCAATTGCCATCAGCAGATAAAACTGGGTGTCATCATGGTACTGGTGACACCCCAGCCTGATGTGTGATACAGGTGTGTGTTTATTAATTTTGCAGCAAATACCTATGTTGGGTATCAGGTAACTAATAGACAGGTGTGGGCAATCTGTCAGGATTTTGGAGTGATACCCAGTGTCATTGCCCTTTCGTGCTTTGTTGTTGACTGTTTAGGGACTTCTG